CTTGAGACACGTGGTCATAAACTAAAGGGGGGTTGGTGGGGGAGGGGGTGTGCAGGGTGGAGGGGAATGAAGGGGGAAAATGGGACAACTATAATAGCATAATTAATAAAAATTTTAAAAAGGAAAAAAGAAATCTATTTGGTTCTTAGCTTATTAATTTCTGATTCAATGTGTTTTGCATATCCCAACTGCTTGTTAGGAGATATTCAATTTAATTTTGTGCATAGCATTACAATTTCTTTGTACTTGTGTTCATTTTGAGGGAAGACGGTTTTATCGGCTGAAATGTTTTGATTTTCCCTTTCTACTTCCTATTTATCATAGCTTCTCAGGTTGATGAAAGCTCTCTGGGAAGACTGCTAGAGATTGGGGATTAGGTTTTAAGATTGCTAGTCCAAGAGCGCCCTCTTTTGTCAGAGTAGTGAAGTGCAATTTATTTCATGGATTTTTTTTGCACTAGAAAGGGAGGATTGTGTGATGTTTGATTTTGGTTCTTGCAGGATTCTGAATTCCTTTTTTCCCCCTTTTCTCTGTACCACCCAAATCTCAAAAAAAAAAAAAACCTTATTCTTCCTTCTTACAGACTTTTTCCATCTTCTCCTTTTTTTGGTGGTGGGAGGGGAGTTACCTTGAGTCCTGTTCATTTTTAAGCTATTTCCCTGCAGTCAGTATTTTGATCCACTAGAACGCTTTCTTTTTTAAAAAAGCAAACTATATCTTCATTGAATTTCTTCTCCCTCTTGTGATTTCAGGTGAATTTTAGAAACCCTCTCCCTTTTATTACCACTTTGATTTTTTTTTTACGGTTTTTCTGGAGTCCTTCCCCAGTTCTGTTCAAATCCGCACAGCAGAAGCTAGAAAGAATGCCCTGGTAGAAAGTGGCATTTGTCTTCCTATTTCCTGGTCACTTGAGGTTTGTAACTGTGGTGCAGGTGGGGTTTTATTTGTCCTTTCTGTTACTTTATATATATTTTTGGAGCATGTATGAGAAGCATTATATTACATTGTGCAGCTTCTTTATTTTCTTAGATTCTAGATTCACTTCAGGAAGTTAAAAAAATCCCTTTGAGTGTTCAGTCGGAATTATGTTACATCTATAATTTGGTGTGAAGGAGGTGACTTGGCTGGTGGACATACGCCCTAGAAACTGACAGCCAGAGCTCAAATCCTGGTGACCTTGGGCAGACTGTGTTACAGTTCCAGCTGCAGCTTCTTCATTTGTTTAAACACAAAACAAAACAAAGAACACTGAAAAGTTCTGTAATTGTGTATAAATAACACAGAACCGGTTATATATCATAAAACATAATTACATCATTGTTATGTTACTACTATCATTCATTGTTTTTCACATCCAGGAGGATATTCTTCCAGGAAAACAGTTGGTTTGAGTCTTCTTATTTCTCCCTCAGTAACATGTTGTTATTATCGTCACCTGGGTCTTGTGTGTCCCTTTTAATTTGATTCTTATGTATGTTATATTTGTATTCCAATTATTAACGCCATTGGGAGGGTGGTGTATTCTTTACCTTCATGGACAAGAACATTGCTGTTTTCATCAGTTTCGGATTCAGCTGCCTTGGAGAATTCTCTCTTCCTTGTTTTTTCACTTTACTCTCTGTTTCCTCAGGTAGACAAGACTATCGTCTGCACGTGTTTATAATTCTACCTCTTTCTTGCTGATGACGGTACCTCCTTTACCTTTGTCCTCCTCCGCAGTGGCTGGGACCTGCGGTACGATGAGTGGCAGTGAGGACCAGCATCCCCGTCTCATTTCTGTCTTAGATGAGAATGTGTCCACCGCCTCGCCGCTCACTACGATGTTAGCTAATGTTTTGATGTAGCTGTTCCTCGGCAGGGCCCAGAGCATCCGACAATGCCCCGGCTGTATTCTTTTCATCTCAGCTTAATAATCATGTTTTTAAAAATAGTCTGCTGGAGCCCTGGCTGGTGTGGCTCAGTGGATTGAGCGTGGGCCTGTGAACCAAACAACCGTGGTTCAATTTCCCAGTCAGGGCACATGCCTGGGTTGCAGGCCAGTTCCCAGCAGGGGACTCACGAGAGGCAACCACACATTAATATTTCTCTCCTTCTCTCCTTCCTTTCCCCTCTAAAGATAAATAAATAAAATTTTAAAAAATTATCTGCTGGATATAATTTGCTATTATTGTATTAAGAATGTTTCCGTTTTTATGTATTTTTGCTTTGTTTTTATGGCTATCTTGGATGTGAATAGAAGGATTAATGTCATAAAATGCATTAAGAAGTCATTTTTCTATGCTTCAGAATAGATTTTTTTTTTTTAAAGATTTTATTTAGTTTCAGAGAGAGGAGGAGGAATGGGAGACATTGATGGGTTGCCTCTCACACGCCCCCTACTGGGCACCTGGCCTGCGACGCAGGCATGTGCTCTGACTGGGAATGAAACCCGCGACCTTTAGGTTCACAGCCCAGCACTCAGTCCACTGAGCCACACCAGCCAGGTCTCTATGCTTCAGAATAGTTTATATACTATGGAAATTATTTTCTCTTTAAAAATTTGAACAAACTTTCCAAGCGCATTTTTCTTTTAAATTTTTTTATGTACTGATTTGAGAGACAGAGAAACATTGATTTGGTGCTCCCCTTATTGAATAGGGATCATCTGTGGACTTCTGTATGTGCCTGACTGGGGGGTTGAACCCACAACTTTGGCCTACAGGACAACACTCTAACCAACTGAGCTACCCGGCCAGGGCACATGCATTCTTCTTTTATGGAATCCTTTGGTATCTTTAAATTTTTCTTCCTCCCTTTTGCCCCCCTATACAAGAGGTTATCTTTCATTGTTTTCTTAATTTTAATCATAATTTTAACTTATTTTTGAATAGATGGTGAAAATCCAGAAGTTACAGAAGGACGCCTACCCTTATTTAGTTCTCCCCAGAGATAACCACTGTTCCTTGTAAATCCTCCCAAATATATTCCATGCACATATGAATATCAGAGCATGTGAACATGTCTGTTTTTACTTTCTACTCAAATATACAGTCCTATACACGCACTGGAGCACCTGCTTCGCTGGTTGCCAGTGTGCGCTGTGAATCATAGGGGATGGTCCACGCAGGCGTGTGCAGAACCGCTCTGGAAGCCCCTGATGACTTGCTGGCCACCTTCGGTGTCCCTTGGCTGCAAGCTGTCCCCATCGTCACATGGCATTTTCCCTGTGTGTCTCTGTCTTCAAATGGCCGTCTTCTTATAATGATACCCTACTGCCAGCCCAATATGACTCTGTATTAACTAATTATATCTGCCACGCTTCTATTTCCACATCAGGTCACATTCTGAGCCCCTGGGGGTAGGATTTCAACATGTACAGGGAGGGCAAAAGTAGGTTTACAGTTGCGATTATGCAGAATACAGAGCTTATTCTTGTATTGTTATTTATTATTGTTGTATTATTTTCCATACGAGTAAATGTAAACCTACTTTTGCCCTACCCAGTATGTATGTGTGTATATATATACACACACACACACATATATATTGTGAGGACACAATTCAAACCATAACATTTTTCTAGAATCTTTTGAGAGAAGGGGTGTGTGTGTGTGTGTGTGTGTGAGAGAGAGAGAGAGAGTGAGACAATGATGTAAGGCCCAAGATGCTGAACTTCCTATACATGTTGCATTCAGCCTGCCTGAGCCTAGTTTCTAGGAGATGAAGTTACAGCTTCAACCATCGCCATAATAAGCACACAGTGAAGTTACCTGAAGCTTCAGTTGGGCTTCAGAGGAATTCACAAAGCACTTTTGTCCTGGTTTGCACTTCACAGTCTGCATGCTCCACCCTCAGCCATCAACCTGCCCCCCTGCCCTTGACAGTGGGGGCTAAACGCTTGAGTTAAATGTACCGAGGAGGGTCACATGACACCCCTACCCCCCAATCAGATCATAGACTGCAGGCCAGGAGACTTCTGTTTGCACCTTGCGCTATTGTGTTCCAGGGGCCCCCTCCTGGTGTCCCCATGAGCTCCCTTGTCACCCTTTGAGAGGGACAAGAACCACAGGTAGAACTGTTCTCGAAGTAATCCCAACTGCTCTCAAGTGTTGGTCAAAAGAAGTCCTTTTTGAATGTGACAGCTGTGGTCCACTAAACCTATGAAAAGTCTGTTCACCGAGGACCAGATTTTACTGCTCGGAGCAATCACACCGCCACCAAGAGCCCTTTCTGTCTCTCTGTGGGATTTGAACTCTTGCTTGCTGTCTCGGAGTCTCAGAATTCACATGCAACCTTTCCTTGCTTTGCTGTGGTATTTTTACTATTAATCCACTCATATCTAAGTGCTTTGCTTCTTTCTTCCCCAAACACACCTTACAGCATTTCTTGCCCTTTTCAGTGGCCAAGGAAATGTATCCTATTTCTAAAATGGCAGTGAGAAGTTATCCTTCTTTTCAGGTGGACATACATATTACTGCTTTGCATTATTATGACCTTTTCCAATTTGAATATGTATGTGTGTATGTTTTGTACTGACTATATATAGTCATTTTTTTTTAATTTTAAAACCATTTCTTTTTTTTAATATTTTATTTATTTATCTTTAGAGGGGAAGGGAAGGAGAGAGGGAGAGAAATATCAATGTGTGGTTGCTTCTAATGCACCCCCTGCTGGGAACTGGCCTGCAACCCACGAATGTGCCCTGACTGGGAATCGAACCGCGATCATCTGGTTCACAGGCCCACACTCAATCCACTGAGCTACACCAGCCAGGGCTTAGTCATTTTTTATAGTCATTTTATATAGTCATTTTTTTTTTTGATGTGATGACTACATTAAGTCCTTCTGCCAATATTTATTCCCTACTTCATTCCCCCACTGTATTTTTTAAGATCCATGGACATTTTCTTGATATTTTATGCTAGTAAATCATTCTCTCCTTGTATATTATAGGATAGCTAGCCAGGAACTTTTGTTTGCATTTGTAAAGATCAGTTAGAAAATAATTATCCGCAGCAAAATTGTCAAATTAAAAAAGCAGAGGTTTTATTGTTGTTTTTATTTGTTTTAATTAGCTCCACTCCGTTGACTGCAGGCTTCAGGAAGTGCCGGCTGAGAAAGCCTGGTGGACATCATCATGGGGGAGGCGGGAAGCAGAGGCCGGTCTTGCCTTCCCCAGACCTCCCGGCAGCAATAGTTTTCTAGCAAGTAGGAAAGAGAAAGTAAGAAGGTTACCTGTGAGTTAAAACTGTTACTTTCTCTCCTATGGGGAGAATGGCATGCTTCTGCAACTGTTTCTGCTGGATTCAAAAGGGAAGTAATTGTTTCAAAAGGATGCAGAATGCTGGGCATGAGGACTATCTCCCTTCCTTTCAGAAGCCACCTAACGAAGTCTTTCCCGGAAGCAACATGCCTACTTACAAATCAGTGGTGTCCGTCTTCATCTATAGCCTGCATTCCAGAGGTCAGACACCACTGAGAACCTAAGTTGTGGTTAACTTGGGGGGATGCTCTGCCTGCCACTGAGTAAGAGGTGAGGATTGAGAGGATGGCATGCCTCCAACTCACTTGACCAGGACATTTCGACCACGATTTATTGGGTTGGCCAAAAAGTTCTTTCTAGTTTTTTTCCCCCATAGGTGGCTCCAGTAGTGCTTTGTTGTCTTTAACTTCATTTGAAACAATTTTGTTAGATTGTATTGTGACAGCTGTCATATCAGCCTGTGTTTAAAAAAACATCAACATTGGGCCCTGGCTGGAGTGGCTCAGTGGATTGAGCACGGGCCTGCAAACCAAAGGGTTGCCAGTTCAATTCCCAGTCTAGGAGGGCACATGCCTGGATTGCAGGCCAGGTCACCAGTAGGGGGTGCATGAGAGGCAACCACACACTGATATTTCTCTCCCTCTCTTTCTCCCTCCCTTCCCCTCTCTTTAAAAATAAATAAATCTTTATAAATAAAATATTTAAAAAAGAAATATACTTATAAAAATTAATAAAAATACAATAGAAAACATCAACATTGGTGAATTTTTGTGCAGCCATTTTAATATTAAAGATGGAAGAAAACATGCAGCATTTTTGATGTATCATGCTTTATTATTTCAAGGAAGGTGAAAATGCAAGTGAAACACACAAAAAAGATTAGTATATGCAGAAGGTGCTGTGACTGACTGAATGTGTCAAAAGTGGTTTGCAAAATTCCTTGGTACTATTGACATTTTGGCCAAACAGTTCTTTGCTGTGGGACTGTCTTATGCATTGGAAGGTCTTTAGCAGCACCCCTGGCCTCTACCCATTAGAAGCCTGTAGCAGGAGATAGCCAGCATACTCAAAATATCCAAAGCAATAAAGTTATTGGTGAAAATGAAAAGTGTGTCTTTTATTTTACAGGAAAAAAAATACCGACTTTTTGGCTAACCTAATAATTCCACACTATTATCAATATTTTCCCTAAAAAAATTTACACTCCTTACTACCTAACAGGACCACTAGTAGGTGAGGCATTCTCCTGAGGATGAAATTTTAGGAGGCCCTAAAAAGTCTCAGGAATCAAGTAAATAATATTTTAATGCAAAAAACAAAAAAAAAAAACCTGCCACAGTAGGCCAGCTGCTAACTGCCTGCCTTTGTAAATAAGATTTTCAGGGCTGAGATTATGATAAGAGAGGCTGGATCCTGCAAGTGCGGGGGAGGACCGTGTGTTTGGCATATTGCTTATCATGCCTGTTTTTTGCATTAATTTTGATTTAAAAAAATCACATTAACACATTTATCTTGATTATTGAGGGGTATTTTCCCCCTCCGAACCCATATACCTTGCGAATGAAGCAAGTGCCTGGCCCTGAAAATACTTACCAATGAAAAGCTATCCACAATCCTCAACCACGACTCAAATTAAGAAGCAGGCTGATCGCTGAGCATCCCTCAGCTTACAGATGCCTCCACCACGAGGTCTCCTTGTAACCTGATGGCTTTGGAGACCCTCTCCTCCGGCTTTCCTGGTATGTGTATTAAAATACATTGCACTCTGATTGGTCTCCATTCTGAGCAGCCAGAGTGACTCCACCACGTGTGCTTTTTTTGCACTTTGGCTGACGCTATAAAATGGTCTCTTTCCGTCCTCAAGTTATCTAAATGTCACTTCACTAAACAACTCCCCGCAACGTTTTTCAGAACTGAGCTGACCCGCGTGGATGTTCTTTCCAGCCGTGTCCCTACCCCTAGGCCCTGTGCTCGGCATTCGGAGGTAGGGTGACAGGACCCGGCACGGCTAGAGTCACCACGGCCGAGGACTTATCGCCTGCCCTGTCCAGCTCGCAGTACTGCGACCACATCCTTGAGCCGGGCTTCGTGTGATCGCGTCTGCGTCTGCGTCTGCGTCTGCGCGCTCCGCTTAGTCCGACGACGCGAAAAACGGCTCGCGACTCTCCCAGGTTCTGACCGGAGGGGACTAAGAAGCGTGAAAAAGCTCCCCGCGCGCCAGTGCGCAGGCGCGGTGGTACACACCGCCTCACTGTTCCCTTCTCTGACCACGCGGGCCGCGGGCCGCGAGCCCCGAGCCGCGCGCGCGGGTGCCCAGTGGGGGGCGCCATGAGCTGGGGGAGAGCCCGCGTCTGGTGTGGGCTCTCTGGGGGGCGTGGTGCGCGGCCCAAGGCGGGCGCCTGGGCCGCGAGCCTGATGAAACGGGTGACTGCTGGTGACAGCGGGCGGGGCGGCGGGCGGCGCCGAGTGCACGCCCTCCGCTCGGCCGGGCCGGGACGGTCCTCGGGCTCCGAGCGCGCCGGGCCGGGTGGGCTGACACACGGCTCGGACGCGGCACCATGCGCAGCCCCCCTGCCTGGCCGCTGGGGCTGCTCGCGAGCCGGGGCCCGCTGGCCTTCGCGTGGACACCGGCCGCCCGCGCCCCAGTGTCCCAGTTGCAGCCGACCGGCCTGGGGCCGCCGCGGCTTTGGGGAGCGGGGCCCGGGCTCCTCGCGGGTGCGGGAGCCGCGCGCAGCCCGCGCCGCGGGACCAGCTGCTGCCCCGGCGGCGGTCCCCGCGGCCCAGGCGGCGGAGCGGGCCTCGCGCGGCTCCTGGGGCTGTGGTCGCGGTCCCCGGGCGCCCTCGGGCTCCCGCGCGCCGTGCCCTCTGGCGGCCCAGCCCTCGCCCGAGGCGCCGGGGGCGATGCCTGGCGGCGCGGGCCGGCTTTGCCTGCGGCCGCGGCGAATCCTAAAGACGACTCCCGGCTGCGCCCCGCGGCGGCCGGGCGCTCGGAGGCCCGGAAGCTCCTGGGGCTGGCGTACCCCGAACGCCGGAGGTTGGCAGGTAGGGCCCTTCCGGTCCTCGCCCTCCACTTTCCCCTCTGCCAGCCAGCACACCTTCCAGAGCGCGTGGTCCCGGGGCCTCCAGCGGGGGACAGTGCGAGACCTTGGGCAGCACCGAGGGGAGGGTGGGGGTGGCTTTTTTCCCTGGGCGGTTGTACCGAGAAGTGCTGGACGGAGCGCTTGCCTCGCAGTGAAATGGTTAAGCCTTTCCAGGTGAGCTGGGCTCCGGTTTGAAGATCCGCTTTATGTTGATTTAGTTAGCTTGATGCACGTTACCCAGGAGAGCGGTGTCTCCCTAGAAGTTCAGGTCTGTTCCTCTTTGGCTCTGTCAGCATTCTCAAAATCATCTGGGGTTTCCCCGTCGCTCATTATTGGAAATTAACTCTAGCCAAAGGCATAGCTATATTTGTATTTTGTACTTACATTAATTTTAAAACATTATTTGCTTTAGGCAAGTTTATTTATCAGTCAATGTTTTTGCCATGTGAAGCGAAAGCAATCTTAACCTCCCCAGTTTGTCTCAGTGCTTCTGTCTCCCTGAGACATAAGTAGGGGGTTACTTTGCCCCTTTCAGAGTGATCTGTGAACTCCAGAAGTTTTGAGAAACTGTAGCTCACAACCCCCCTAAGTCATAAGTAAGTCATTTTTAAAAGAAAATGGACGTTTTTAGAAACAGAATCCGGAGACAGAAGTTTTTCTATAGCTCACTTTTAGCCATAATTAGAGGAATGTTTAAGTGCAAATTTTTTTAGACTTCTCAAACTCTCCATTTCTTTAATTGTATGTAAGGCCCTAGGGGTTACATTTGTGAACAGAAAGAAACCTGGTTTCTGCTTTCTGCTGGGACTTCCAGCCTGTAGTGGAGGGAGGGGGGCAGTAGTGAGATCATCACATGATTAGAGACAAAACCGCAGCTGTGCTGAAAATCTGGAAAGAGGACCTGGGAGGCTGTCACTTGCAACACCTGACACCCGTGGGGACCCCACATTCTTTGCTGCAGAGCCACTGCCTTAGAAAGGACACTCCTCCTGGGGAGTGCTTTGTGTTTCCAGCAGCTTGGTGCTGTGGAGGAGGGCGGTTACACTGGGAATGCCTTGCCTCTGGCTGAGTGTTCAAGTTTTAGGGGAGTCTTAGTATCATTGAGGTATAAAGGCAAATACTTCATTGCTTGGTTGTATGTAGATTTTGTTGGAAATGAAGATCCTTTTTTCTTTTAGAAGAAAGTTTTGAAGCCCAGATCGGGTAGCTAAGTTGGTTTGAGTGTTGGCCTGATATACCATGGTGGTGGGTTTGATCCCCGGTCAGGACACAAGAAGTGACCAGTGAATGCTTCAAGAAGTGAAACAACAAATCCATCTCTCTCGAAAAAAAAAAAAAAAATCAATACAAATATAAAACAATAAACAAAAAGAATGTGAAAAATGAAGTCATACAGGTTTGACTTACCAAAAAAAAGGAAAATGTGGCACCAGGAGCTCTCATGGACCGAGAAGCTTGAGAGAGCGGCTCTCTCTGCTCCTCCCTCCCTCCCCAGTCCTCAGTGTGTGGGCGCAGGGAAGGGGCTCTGGGGGCCTCAGATGAAGGAACAAATGATGGTGGGACCAGGCGCAGATGAGGTCTCTAGTGAGGGACCCTGAGCATGACCGATGTGGCCACCATTCTGCCTACAACTCAGAGTAAGGGTCCGCACATCCGGTTTTGTTTCGTTTCTGCAATATTAAATGTCAAGGTTCTCTGGGAGTCAGGCTTTTTGGGTGCCGCAAATGCTCAGCCCTCCTGGGTAGCCCAGCCCTTCCTCTCTGGCCATCAGCTCTGCGCCCTCCTACCGTGTCCCCACAGGCCCTGCCATGCTGACATGTTGAGGTGACAGCCTTAAACGAGGCTGTGCTTCCTTTTATTTTAAGAAGGGGAGCTATCTTGAGATGCCACACTGAATAATTGTGAACATGAAATTGGAGGATAAGGCTGGGGTTGCACAGTAATTTTTTAAAAAATTTTTCTAGAGAATAAAGTTTTTATTCACTCTGCAAAAAATGAAAGGGGCATGGTATGGAGGGGTACACCAGCTAATTTTTTTAACTTCCAAAATGTGATAAATACTTATTGTATCTTATGAGGAAATCTGATGAAACTTATTAGGACGCATGGTTTCCTCAGAAGTCATTATATATGATATTTTGAAGCTAATCTAGATGTTGGCATTAGTGGGATTAAGAGGAAGTGAGGGGTCATTAATTTGTAGCTTATCATAATAGCAGCCTCAGATGTTGGCACATCTGTTTAAAGTGGTGGAGAGAGGGCCAGTTGTGTGTGTGCACGCCTATTTTCTTTTTAATCAACAGAACAAAGAAAGCTGAGTTGAAGGAACTCCAATGTTAATTTGTTAATTTTTAGAAAAGCAAATCCAAAAATCTTTTTAAATTCAGCTATGCACTTGAACAATAATGTTTTCAGCGGCTTCAGTTTGCAAACATACCACCTGAACCGTGTGACCAGAAGACTTTGATCTTCAGTCATTTGTACTAGAAACTTAAAAACCCACTGAAATGTTTACAGATGCGTGCGGAGCACTGTGGGCATCATCTCCTTTCCCAGCCCCTCTGCCCTGCCTCCCCACACCTCACCGTGTGTGGGAATTTGCAGCTATCTTCCTGCAGCTGTGGCCTGCCAAGTGGCTCTCCAGCCTTTCTTCACTGATAATTCTTCATCTTATCGCCTTGGCCAGAGGAGTCTTAGAAGATGAAGGGACTCTCCGGGAGGCCGTGTGGACCGCTGGGATAAGGAGCAATTGGTCCGAGCCCTCTCGCTGCACCTGGCAGATAGAAGCGGCTGGGGTCTCTGACCACCCCAGGGAGTCAGGCTGGGGCCATCCTGTATAAAGTTGGGCCTTTGGGGTGCACTGTGGGCCCTTAGGGTCCTGCGAGACTATAACCATGCTGCCAGCTGGGAAGTGCTTGTGGGGCGGGCCTCTGGGTACAGAGGCAGCCTGTTCTCCCCACACGTCCCAGGCAGCTTCCCGGTCCAACTGGAAAGTACCCAGCCCTGCCTCCACCCCAACACGTTCACTTGAGGCCTCAGGGAGGACCTGGGAGGGTGCCTCTCACTGAAATTCCTGATAAGGGCTTGTGTGCTTTTAGATTAGGGCCATTCTTGGAACCTGATGCCTGCCAGGAGCTTTTGCTGATTTTGTAGTTATGTTTTATGAAGCCAGACCGTGAAGTGACTACAATAGAGTATAAAACCAGTGGGCACAGTAAGCCAGGTGAGGATGAGCAGTGCTTAGAACGATAGCTCCGAAGCCCGAGTCAGGGCGAAGGTTGTATAAGGTCAGTGGGGCTGAGCCTTTGAAATGGAGCCGGAGCTGGCTGCAGAGAGCCAGGGATGTTGGGCGTGGGAATTTCACAGAACGCAGGGCCACTCCAAGCTGTGCAGCGTGCTGGGCAGCGCTGATGGAAGTGTAAACCGTACATCAGATTTTGAAGGAACTTAGTATGAAAAAAGAGTAAAATGTCATACTTTCTTAACTCTTGATTACATGTTGATTAATACTTTGGATATAGTGAGTCGAATAAAATGTACCACTAAAATGAATTTTACCTGTTTACTCTTTTTAACGTGGCAGCTAGAAGACTTTAAATTACACAGGAGGCTCCCACGACGCGACCACTGGACAGCGAGTGCTGGAGCTGGTGGCCGCCCTCCCTGTTGTCGGTGGGCACAAACTGTGCACTCTTGGGCACACACCAGCAGCTCAGCCTTGCCCCAGACCTAGGAGGGCTCAGATCTGTGCCCCGCAGCTTCCTCCGTGGGCTCGAGACCTGTCCTGCACTCTGCCTCCCACTCGTCTCTCAGCTCCCGGTGTTTCCACTTTCTTTTTCCCCCAGCCTAGATGCCAGGCTCCTTCCCTTCAGCCTCTAACCTGCACAGCTAGCACCGCTGCTGCTGTGTTCCCTGTGATATCCACCCGCATCCAGAGAAGGCCCCCCAGACACCTGAACACTGAACGTGACTAAACACCAAAGTTACCTGAAGCTG